CCACTACACCACAGCGGCCGAGTTTATTCCTAGCTGGTGGAATATACGACGCACAAACGTACAGCGAATTAGATAAATTTTTTATATTCACACAAAGCTGATCTAGCAACGTATCATTATTTTGAAGAAGAACTAACGACGCTTGTAAATGACAACGGCATGCGGTGAGCACTCCACCTCCTCTGGCATAGCCAGTCTTGATCGCGACCTTTTCGGAAAACATCATAGTGTCTAATAATGAAGAACTCGGAGTCAAAGAAGCCAAGTCTCAATAATGGCAAACACATCATGCTCCAATTGCGAGTTAAGCAGGTACAAATCCTCTGATTTTGTTCTAACACCAGAAGCATTGTGGAAATAAACTTTATATTTATATTTTTCTGCCCGCGAAGAGAAGGCGTTACTGGTTTTCTGGGCGCAAAGTTGGAGGTTTCTCTAAAAAACGAAAGGGTCGCACTGCAACATTCACTGGCCAAATTCCAGGAATCAGCAGATTTTCATATGAAGACAATGGCACTCCCAATTTGAAGTTAACACCCCTCAAATTAGAAACTGATGCGTCCTTTTTTATTAGCTTATAACATGAGAACGCAATTTTATTAAGACTCGCCTTCCCAGCAATATAACTTAAAATGTCATCAAAAGTCACAGAGGGCGCAAACGATGCCAAATGCAACCACTTAAGTCTCTCAACTCCTTTCAAGCCGGCAGTTGCATCAGAGTCCAAAACAGTGTTTTGCTTTTTATTTATTTTAGGCACACGTTGAGCGTGATTACTGCCTGCCGAACCATCAACAGAACCAGTAGAAAGAGCATAACTCAAAGAGAGCGTTTGTGTATTTATCCCCACATTGGATGCAGCAGTGAAGGTGTTTACCGGTGAGAGAACATTGGCATTGGCAATAGCAGCGGTTGGCATTAATGTTTATAGCAGCATCATCAGTCATGACGATATGAGCAGGCACGTTCATTTCGCGATTAGATGTAGGCGCATAAGAAGTCGGCATTGCAGTCAGTTTGTTACTACCATTAGCTTCAGCAGTAGCACTCGACGTCGGCTTCACATTAGCTGTATTACACCCGATTTACATGATTCAAGTACTTGAAAGCAATTGTTGCTTATTCTCTTTTGTGTTTTCTATTTGTTTTTACACGTTTCAATTCTGTTGAATTCAAGTTTATGGTTCTTTAAATGGGAAACAACGAAAATGCCAAAAGCAAAGCAAGAAAGTTGAAACGACTTGACGGTACAGACGCATGTGTACTCGTCCCTTTTCTTCTCACCCCCTCTCTTCCACATGCGAGCAGAATTGAATTCAATACTTGAACTGTGTAAAAGCAGTCTTCGTGAGGGCATCTCTGTAGGTACCAGCAGAGAGCGGCATAACATCAGCAGAAGCATGAGTGTGAGGAGCAGATGCAAAAGAGTTAGCTGCATTCGGAATAATAGCCCAGTTATGCATACTTAGCGTTGCATGACAGTTGTCACATAAGAATCTGTTAAATGGGCTTTGCGTGTAAGCGGTTACCCAACGCATAGCACTTAACATGTAGAATTCTGTTGGGTTTTGATTTTTACGTAAAAATGGTATAGCAGTGCAAGTATGCATAACTGGGCTATAACACCAGCAGCAGCAAACGAATTAGAAGCCTAAGAGCGCAGTAGTAAGTGATCACCAGCGCCAGTTGTTTCACTGCTTATGTTGGCACGAACTGGACCGATGATACTAGAGCCAACAATGCAACAGTAATCAAAGAAAAAGCGGCATGTTTACCATTAAGTTCGGCCCATAGTTGTTGCACCAATTGCTTTTTGTCTTCAACCAGCGTACCTAATATTGTGAGAACACGAGCATTATCAGCTCTTAATGCAGCTAATTCTTTAGCAATAGTTTACATGGTTATTTGTTGCTTGTTAATTTACTCATTTAACGCAGTATCACTGCTAGTTTTAGGTGCGATAGCACTAGTAGCAGCATCTCCCTCAGAAGCGAAGGGTGGTGGAGGCGCGTCACGATTGAGAGAATACAAAGGTTGCGCCGATCTCGGACCGCTATTCCTCTCTTAACGAATTTGACAGAATCGTTGTTTGCATGACGTCACACTGGTGCAACTTGTTTACGTTTTCCTTGCAACATTTTTTCTTCTTCTTCCATTCTTGGTCACGTTTTGGCATTTCTCTCTCGCAATTGCACCAGTGTGACGTCACACAAAAGTTATTCTCAAAAATCCTCTCTGATCGGCGCAATCTTGTATTCTATCATTCTTGGAGGCGCGTGAAGAGAAGCACGACGCTCATCCGCACACGCTTAGCATACGAAACCTTTGTCCGAACTTAGCAAAATGTCGAAATCAGTCTGTTGCATACCAACACAAGACAAGTGAGAGAATATTTTGCACTTGGCGCACTGAACCTTCGATTGAGCACGGTCAAACTTCTGACCACAAACACAAGGCATACTGAATAATTTACTTGAATATTTTAATATGCATTTATTAAATAATGCAGAGTCACTGTCTCACGGTTTCTCAACTATAAAAGAATAAATAAATTAACGCAAACGTCACTGGATTGTGATTATTGTTACACAAAAAACGGAGCGATACGAAAACACGTCCACACGGTTTGACGACTTTGCTCGATTCATATATTCTTATAACGAATTCATATATTCATATGTTAGCAAGAGTATAAAAACATAAAATTACCTTATAAATTATAAGCACAATTATCACGTTTATGCGTAGTCCAATTCACGAAATCATTTCATGGATCTGAGTAAAAGGGTTGGCCTTCCATTACATCGGTTTTTGGGTGTTTTCACAAAACTATCACGAATTCATTTCATGGATCTGAGTAAAAGGGTTGGCCTTCCATTACATCGGTTTTTGGGTGTTTTCACAAAACTATCACGAATTTCGTCATGAAACTTGGCAGGGATGTTAAGAATCGTATATATTTACATTATTTATCACTATTTTTACTTTATTAATAATAGTATTTAACTAATTTTTTGGTATATTCTTTTCAGTTTCACTAGCAAAGTTTCATAAGAAAAAGAAAAGGAAAAGAGCACTTATATTTTTATAATTATACGATCTTTGCAATGTTCACGTGTATTTTGTGTACATTAAATGTATTTTATTTTATTTTTTGACAATATAAAAGCCATTTAATAATTTCACTACTCTTCTCCGACAAAGTAAACAAGCAAACACATCAAAATGGCTGTGATGGCTTTGTTTCATAATGATCTCGATAACAGGAGGGAATAAATGAGTATAATGCGTTTTTAAAATATGTTAAACAAAGAGCTCCGCGCAAAAATATTGCGGAAGGCTTAACCGATGTTTTTTCTCGGGGGTTTTTAATCTACGCAGAAAGGTGTTCTTTGCAAAAGGTGTTCAGCACCTTTTCTTCGCAAAACATAAAGCGAGTTCTACTTTGTAAGGGCCAGAATCCCTAAGGGCGGCCGAAGGCCGCCTACGCAGAAAGGTGTTCAGCCTCTTTTCTTCGCAAAACAGAAAGAGAATTCTACTTTGTGAGGGTTATAATCCCTAAGCGCAGCCGAAGGCCGCCTACGCAGAAAGGCGTTCTTTCCAAAAGGTGTTTAGCCCCTTTTCTTCGCAAAACAGAAAGAGGAGGCCGCCTACGCAGAAAGGTGTTCTCTGCAAAAGGTGTTCAGCCCCTTTTCTTCGCAAAACAGAAAGGAGAATTCTACTTAGTGAGGGTTATAATCCCTAAGTGCAGTCAAAGGCTGCCTACGCAGAAAGGTGTTCTCTGCAAAAGGTGTTTAGCCCCTTTTCTTCGCAAAACAGAAAAGAGAATTCTACTTTGTGAGGGTTATAATCCCTAAGTGCGGATTCACCTGCGGCGCTTTTTTCAACAGAAAACAATACTTCGATAAATAACGAATTTTTTTTATAAAAAATAATATTTTTTATTAAAAATTTTCGTCTGCGGCGCTTTTTTCAAAAACAAAAACAATACTTTGATAAATAAATAATGATAAATTTTCCCTTGCGGCACTTTCTTATAAAAATCGATAATTCGATAAATAATGAAAATTAGTATTAAAATCAATACTTCGCCTGCCTCGCTTTTTTTTTAGATATAAGAGTATTTCTATATATGGTGAATACAAAAGCCCCCCACTTTTTTTTACTATTCTCATCATCTGGCAGCACCAATATCTGTGTTCGTTTCCACAACTTCCATGTAATCAATAGGGGTATTCTCTGAGTCTTGCAAAGCCCTTGCACGGTGCACGGATTGCACGGTTTGCAAAGCTGTCCCATACGAAAACCGGTTTTTACCGTGCAATCCGTGCAATCTGTGCACCATGCAAGGGCTTTGCAAGACTCAGAGAATACCCCTAATGAAATTTGTATGATGAGTTGTGCAACTTTAAAAGTTAATAACTTTTAAAAAAAAAGCCTACGCGCTCTGGGGTTTTCACTTTTAGAATCGTAACTTTCAAATTTGGACCGAATGTAAGGAAAATTTTCCTCATCGATGTTGGTCTCCTTGGGGTGGAGATGAGGCTTTAGTGGTGACATAGGGGCCCTTTAGGTGCATCTATATCAGCATAAACTAAGAGGGAGCTCCGCATGAGAACCTGTGTAAGAAACGAGCTTACACAGTTCCCTATGTGGAGATTACCGCACCGACGATTACTCCTGACCTTATCCCTCCTTACTTTCCTATCCCACCAACCCAACTTCTACCCCTAATCCAGGGTGTTACGCGACACCATTCCCATTGGATGGTTTACAGCCATGGGGCCTAACAGACCGGCTGTATTTTGACTGTGTCTTCCTGACACCGGGCCACCTCAGGTAGTAATGGTGGCCTTACCGCGGCAAGGGGCGCTGTCGCGGTGTACCGTATGATTTCCCCACATATTACGCAGACCACTGCACTTGCCTCTTCGAGCAGGTGGTCGCACGAACAAGATGAATCACAACCACAACTAAACCAATCCAACAAAACAGCCGCAGCGTGGTATGCGCCAGTACCAAGGTGGTCAATCAAATTCTTCGTGGAATTACAATGACGCACAGAATCATATCTCTATGGGCAAAACTCACGGTCCACCACATGGCCAACAGCAGATCGGTGGACCAATGGTCGTGAACAATAGCACATCACCACCCCTACAAACGGGCGGTGGTGGTCCTCATGGTCACGGACAGTCACACAGCGGTGGTGTGGTCATGTCTGGCCCACCCAATCAGCCACCCCCACAACCACAGCGACAAATGCGCAATCAGATGCAGGACTTGCGCCAGTTTGCACAAGATTTTCAGTTGGCAAACAGCGCATCAACATCTCCTCCACAACAGCAACAACAATCACAGGTGCCGATACAGCAGCAACAGCAGCAACACCAACAGCAACAATCGCAACAGCACTTGAATTTGGGTAAAGGCGGTGGACACCAACCACAGCCTTCGGTATCGCCGCCACAGCAGCAACAGCAGCCACAACAACAACAAGTTGTTGTGCAGCAACAACAACAACAAGCACACATGAATATGCAGCATGTACAGCAGCAGCAGCATCACGGGCAGCATCACGCCCCTCCACCGCAGCAGCAGCAAGCGCATATACCACAACAACAACAGCACTATGTGCCGTCGCATTTGGTGCAGCAGCAGCAGACACAACAGCAAGTGCAGCAGCACCTGCCAACGCAGCACGTGCATCAGCAGCAGCAGAAACCGCATTTGGACAGCGGTAACATGATGCATTTATCCAAACAGCACCAGCAACAACAGCCGCCACGACACCAACAACAACACCAACATCAGCAGCAGCCACCTTCGCAGCCGCCTACACCTTTGGCGCAGGAGCCGCCTCAGCAGCAAGTGCCGCAACAAGGCATGTACCATGTACCGCCGCCGCAGCTGGCACCGCCGCAACAACAACAACCACCACAACTGCAGCCAACGTCGCCACCAGTGGTAGACACGCCGCCACAACAGCCGCAACAAGCGGTGCAGCAGCTAAGTAAATTAGATACAACGCCTGTGACAACAGTCGCACCGGTGAGTGTCGCTGTGGCAAATACCGGTGGTGAAAAGGTGGCCACGCCTCCGGGCACCGCCTTAGCATCGACTGCGACGAGCGGTACCACCACCACCCGCACGGCGACTGTTAAGAAGGCGCATGTGCTGAATCCGTCGGCAAAGCCGTTTACGCCACGCAGCCCCAGCACACCGAATCCGTCGCGACCGCACACACCACAAACTCCAGTGCAACTGCAAGGCATCTATACGACTGGGACGCATGTGCAAGCGGCTAGCCAGACGCCCATGTACGTCATGCAATCGCAGCAGCCCGCATTCCAAGCGCCGACACATCCACAGACCAGCCAACAGCCCCGAATGCGTAGAGGCAATTACGGTCCGATGGCGGCATCGCAAACTCACGTTTCGGCCACAACGGCTACGGGACAGCCCTTGCTGGCAGCAGCGCCGATACAACAATTCATACATTATCAACAGACTCCACATGCGCCGCATTTCCAATCACAACCCTATGTTAATGTGCGTATGTACGAACCACCGCCACAACAGTTGCAATTCATCACGCAAACGCAACCATCGACCACGCCTTCACCCGGCCAACCACATCAGACGTTCCATCCGCCACCACAGCCTTCTCCTGCGGGCGGTGGCCCACAGCCTACATTCGCCCCACAAACTCAACCCATGTATCCGGTCGTCTATCCCGTCTTACATCCAACACAGATCATGCCGAATCACTACTACTCGACGACACCGCAACATCCACAACAAACTCAACCGTTTCAAATATTAATGCAACAACATCCGGCGCAATAAAAAGCATGAGTAATGTTGGGTAGCGGGTGAGCGACACGGTGAAAGATGAAAAGCGGGGTCCCGTTGGATACGTTGCCCCAGCGGTGGAAAGGGCTAAAGCTCTACTGCCCAACTTCCAGGTCAATCTCGGGGCTTCGGTGAAAAACGGGGTACCTCCGTCAAAGCGACAAAGGTCGGTAGAGGAAAAATTTCCTGCACCCAAAATAGGCCGGCCACACTCCTGGATGGGCAGACCTAGCTTTGCCGGGGTTGCGAAGGACCAAATCCTCATAGGGGTTTTGGACCGAGGCAACGAGCTGGGGTCCTTACCGAAGGACCAGTGGAGGTGGGTGAAGGCAGCCTTGGCGAACGTCATTTTTGATGTTCTGCTGGAGAACCCCGGAACCCCTCCAGCTTGCAAAGACGCTGGTTGGTACCAGGGCCACGTAAAAGTGGTCGCCTGCGAGGATCCAATATCGGGGCGCTGTACATGGCTGCCGTTGCAAAGATAGGCCCTGTCTATCCAGGGGCTAGGTTGGAGGTTGTAGACTGTAAGGATATTCCAGTCAGATCAAGAGCAAGGGCTTGGGTACCGACGACAACTTCGGCACCTGAGAGCATCCTAAAGATGCTTCGGATGATGAACCCAGCCTTTCCGGTATTGGAGGGTCATCCGAGTCGAGGACGCTGATAGCCCTTCAAGACAAGTAGTTTTGTCCCTAAACAAGGAGTCACTCGAGCGAGATCAATGCTCAAATATGACTCTAAAATGACGTTCAAATATGGCTCCAAAAGAGCTCCGAAATTCACTGAAAAAGAGTCATAAAATGCACCGAATTCATCGGATTTGGAGTCTTTTCGGAGTCATTTTTTAGACTCCATTCAGCGTGCCCGCGTAGAACGAAAAATCGCTCATTTACGGCTCCAAAAAGAGCTCAGAGAAAAGCTCCGACATAAGAAGGTTTATAGCTCAAAAAAGATCCTTTTGGTTAGCTGGGAATGCTCACACATTGGAGCCTGGAGCTGAGCTAGCTACATATGGAATTCATTTCTTATAAACCTAGCATCGAGTGCACTCTGGCTGATGTTAATAGAAGCAGCAAAAAATAATTTAGATATTGTAATATGCGCAAAACTAAAAATTTAAAATAAAGTGATGATGTTTATAATTAAATGGAATACCGGCTTAAACTCAAGAATTCAAGTGGTGAGAAGAAAAAACAAAAAAATTCTTGATAACGTAATGCGAAAATTACTAACAATTCTTAACTAGCGCGAAATAAGCATATCTATTCAAACTATAGTAAAAGAAGGAAATTTAGCAGTAATGTCTAACTACAACTGAATAGTGAATCGAAACCAAAATAATGAATCCATCGATGTAAAAATCCCGAGTTTAAAAAAACTTAATTAATCTCATTCATAGAAAATCAAATTCAATACCAAAAAAAAGATTTGAGGTTATGGCTGCCTCGTGGGTGATCCCTTCTGCTCATAGGTATCCAAATTCCAGTGGGCGCACTGGAAATAATGTTGCGCTCAGCGGAGCGCTATGATGGAGCGGTTGAAAAGTATTGCCGCGACGTCTGGCGTTCTGGGCGTGTAGATGTATGTAGGGTTCGAATGATACTATCGATATTGAGTAAGCATCGATACTGAGGGTATAAAAATGAATACTTTAATACTCGATACCTTATTTGGTGATTTTACTCGATACTTTGCAAAGTACTCGTAGTATCGAAAACTTTTCGAAAAACACACTACTTAAATTCTTTCTTCCATTGGCAACCCAATTTTATTTGAAATTATGAATAAGGCCATAAAACTTTACGCAAAGTTCACGAAAATGCAGAATTTTTAGAGGCCTTTTGGGTATGCACCTACTACTACCGTGGACTTTTAATTCAAAAATGCACATTATTATACTAAAATTGAATAGGCTACAAAAATGCATACCCAAAAAGGTTACAAAAATTCTTAATAAAATTTGAAATTCGTGAAAGCATATATATTAGGCCGGGTCGATTTGTGGGGAGGCAAAAAAATCGCCCATTGCTCTGTGAAAATCATATTCTAGGGATCAAAATAAGAAACTTTGCCGAAGGAACCATACCTCTAAAACGAATTCTGATGTCCCCAATTTGGGTCGAACTTTGTGGAAATTGTTGTGATGCTGTTAAAGAGTTAGGGCTAAACCTGGATGTAGCGCACAACGCATTTAGTCGTGAATGTCCTGTCTATATTAGGAAACTGAAACTAGAGAAACAAAGAGTAGGATGTTAGCAATTAGGTGTAATGGAAAAGCGTAACAGTTACTTAAAATGCGTGTATCTTAATATAAATAGTATAATAGCCAATAAAGCCGAGCTTGAAAGGCTTCTTGAGACTGTTGATCCGGATATAGTTTTATGCTCCGAAACATGTACAACAGAGGAAATAAACGACTCCGAAATCAAGTTTCCAACTTATCAGTTTATTAGATGCGACTCGTATAGTAGACACACTGGCGGGGTAATTGTAATTTTGAGAGACACAATAGACTTTAAAATAATAATAAATAGATCCACTGATAAAAATGTCTGGTGTATAGTGGTACAATTGAGAAATTTTGAAACCAAATGGAAAATCGGGGTAGTCTATCACTCACCCAGTTCGAGTGATGCAGATTTTCTGACATATATGGAAGACATTTTGTCCGAAACATGCGCTAACATGGTAAATACCATTATTATTGGGGATTTTAATATAAATATGAATATATCATCGACATATAGTAGGAAGCTTAATGAGATATTCTCTCAGCAGGCAATGAAACAGTTAATCAACTTTGATACCAGGGTTACTGCACAGTCCGAAACGCGCATCGATTTGTTATACTCTAACACTAATGAAGTTTCATGTGAAAAAGCTGAGGAAAATAGAATAACGGATCACGAAACCATAATGTTCAAATGCAATATAAAAAAACAAGGCGAAATCAATAAACTCTCTGAATTAATTTCTTGGGATAAGTACAGCCCAGACAACCTCATAAATCTTTTGAGACAATGCCACTTTGCAAACCTGAATAGTTTCAATATTGATGATATGCTCGAACATATCAACCTTTGTTTGATTTCGAGTATGAATCAACTAACTTCTCGGGTACAAAGGCGGGTTAAACTTAGAAATAAATGATATGATAGACAACTGACTGACACTAATAAAGAAAAGTTTAGGTTACGCCAAAGGGCAGTACTCACAGGTGATTGGGTAGATTACAACAAAATAAAGAAAGAGTATAAGAAAATGATCAAAATTAAGAAAATTCAGTATATGGAACACAAGGTAGAAAATAATAGAGGTGATAGTCGTTTAATGTGGAAATATTTAAAGAATATTCTTAATAATACGGGTAACAGAGACAATATCAAAGAAGTTCTCATCAACGGAAAAATATACAGAAATAGTATGGTAATCGCCGAAGAACTAAACAAGTACTTTGTGGATAGTATCGTCGACATAAATAGTAATATAGAGAACGTAAATTGTGAACAGTTACGACAGGAAGACAGTCGAGGCACCTTTAAATTTGAGAAAATTACACCTACACAGGAGATGATCACAGATATGAATTGGTTGAGTGTTAAGCAACAGGTTTTCTATCATGCTATGAAATTCGTATACAACATAAAGAACGGTAAACTTCCAGACTATCTGAGCGACAATCTTCGGTATATAAATGAAACTCATTCATATATACTCAGGGAAAACAATTGCTTTAGACTCCCACTTTATAGAACAGAGGTAGACAAAAAAAATATATTTTATAAAGGTTTAAAGTGTTTTAATGAGTTACCGCCACATGTAAAAGACTGTGATAACTTTGTTGCTTTTAAAAGACAACTATTTGATCACTGTAAAACTCTGGCTATTAGGTAGGAGAGCACGGAACGGAATGGAAACCAGGCCTTTCCATCCGACCAAGCAGCAAATGATCTAGCAGACGAAAGCTTCCGTCTATGCCCAACAGCCCGACCATAACGCGGAGCGGAAACTAGACCTTTCCGCCCGCCTCACATCACGGAATCCAGCGTCAGGGTTTGCATATTAATGACGACGGGAACATGGATCGGAGACTCGGCCTTTCCGACCGTGACTATCAACTCGTGAGCAACGCGGAGCGGAAACAAGGTCTTTCCGCCTGCTGCACATAGTAAATATTTAAAGGTAGACTGGAGACTAGGCCTCGCCAGCTACCAAACTAGTTAGAAAATATACATTTATATAGGTTATTTGATAGTTTTAGAAACATAAACAGCTTTGTAATTGAAAATTTAAACTTACATATACGCATACTTTGTTATATATTAAAAATACCTATCTGTACTTTAAAAGTCGCAAGACTGTAACAAATAAAAAAAAAAAAAAAAAAAAAAAAA